AAACTAGACAACTCCCTTGCTTAAACATGTCCCATGTTTTCCTCTCTGCATTCTATTACTCAGTGTTCCTTAAGTTGGAATGCCTCAACTCATTGCTTCCTGTCAAACATACACTCCTTCGTATGAATTTACTGGGTTTTCTGCAAGACATGAAATTTCACTTACTTCACTTTTACTGACTTTATAGCATTGTTCGTATTGGTGTTATTTACAAACCCTGTTTTTGATTGTGGGCAAGGATTGTCTATTTCACTTTTTTATATTTCCTCCAGTACCTTGTGTGTAGCCAACAAATGTTTATGGTATTACACCCAGAATTCTAAAGTACTGATTTTAGTATCTGTACCATGGCTTTGCTAGTTTGTAGCTGTGTAGCTGTGGTGTATGTGTGTGTGTGTATTTTTTAAGTAGGCTCTATGCCTAGGTGCCTGGGTGGCTCAGTCAGTTAAATGTCAGCCTTGGGCTTGGGTCATGATCCCAGGGTCCTGGGATGGAGCCCCATGTCTGGCTGCCTGCTCAGCGGTGAGCCTGCTTTCTCTCCCTCTGTGCTCCCCCTGCTTGTGCTCTCTCCCTCTCTTTCTCTCAAATAAATAAATAAAATCTTTAAAAGACTCTATGCTCAATGTGGGGCTTGAACTCTTGACCTAGAGACCAAGAGTCACATGTTCTATCGACTGAGCCCAGCAGGCACCCCTATGTGGTATTTTCCTAATTAACCTCCTTAAGTCTCAGTTTCCTCATCAAAAAATGGGCATTGTAACAGCAGCCATCTCAGGGTCACAACAAGGATGAAATAAGACAATGCATGTAGGATACTTAGTGTTGTGCTTGGCACAGCAGGAGTGTGGATTGTCAGAGAAAGAAAAGATCCATTTAGGCTAGAGGAATAGCGGAGGGCTTCTTGGGGGATGTGAGCCAGGAAGGATGTGAGCCAAGATTTGATTAGATGCAGTGAAAAGGGAAGGCATTTAGACAGAAGGGCAACCTGAATGTAGACTTAAGAAGAAACAGAAACGAGAAGGATGTGCGAGGTGTGACAAAGGATGGAAATGGACAGAATGACAACCAGCTCCTCATTATTAGCAGGGTTAAGCTTGAAATCCTGTGTTTGCAGCCAAGAATTAATTATAGAAGTACAAGAAAGGGTGAATTTTGCTTAGTATCCGTTTGTGGGGAAAAAGCTTTAAGGAAAGGGAGTAGTAGGAAATGGTTATAAAGTCAATTTGAGCCAAAGGGTCGGGGCAGCCTCTAAATTTGCTGAGGCAACAGTCCAGTGTGCTTATGGTTGTAGGCAGTCAGATTAAGGAAGGCTAAAGTCTCACTGTACTCTGGTGATCAGATCCCACCTGAGTATTTTAGGTGGTCCCATTTTTGTTGCAAGGAACAGAAACCCAAGCAGGAAGAGAACATACTGCCCTACACAGGAGGTAAGAATGGGGCCCCAAATAGATCTCTTTAACAGGCCAGTACACCCATCCCCCAGCTGCTGTGAGTGTTGGCAGCTAAGGGTTCCCAGATGCCCGAAATTCCAGAGAATTGCCTTCAGCTGAAGGGAGCAGCGTTGGAGACCTTAACTCCTTGATGGATTACAGCCAGTGGCTGACTGATGCTTGGGTACACAGAGCTGCCCGAAGCCTCAGGGGGAGGTAACTCCTTGTGGTTTTATCCAGAGCTCTCGTTGTGGATCAGGCCAAGGCAAAACCAAGTTGATTCTTGTTTCCCTCTTTTTCTCTGTCCTGCTCAATTCCCTCCCTTAAGGGTCCCCCCCCCCAATAAATCCCATTCCCAGATCTCCCTTACAGGCTCTGTTTCTAAGGATCCCGATGAAAGACACCTACGAAAGTGCATAGTGAGAAAACAGCTGGGCCAGGTTCTCAAAGTCATCCCCTGTTGTGGTTTTTATCTGTACCTCAGCTCTGATAGTTCGTTTTCATATTGGTTTTATGTATTCTCTAGCAAGTTCTTTTGTGGGCCTCCTGGTCAGCTCCAGCGGATGAGCCAGATAGTTCAGCAGCCTCAGTGTAAAGGAAACTTCTCCATATGGGTGATGCGTACAAAGGTCCCAGGACTCATTCTGATTGGACCGCCTTGAGCCACGTGGGTTTCCCTAAATCAATCATTGTACATGGTGGTGGGAGGAAGCACAGGGAGGAGGGAACAGTGCTCTGATTGGTCAGGAATAGCAGAGCGCTGCCCCCGGAAAGATGAGTGAGTAGTGAATCAGCCCCCTGGCAGCCAAATGGACAGAAGGTGGGAAGGACTGGTTCCCTGGAGGAAATTAGGCTCCCCTTACCAGAAGAGAAGAAAGAGAATGTTTGCTGGAAGGACAAAAATAACACATTCCCAATAGATCTTGACAAAATGAAAGATGTGTCTATGAAGTCATCAGGATGGAAACCATCATCTGGCAAAATCAAAAGTGACTTTATCCTTATTTTGGGGGGATGGGCAGAAGGTATGGAAAGGGTGGGGCCTAATGGTCATCTTCAAATATTTGGAATATTGTTACGATGAAGAGGAATTAGACATGTTTCTGTGATGCTTTAGGAGATAAATAGGACCTAGGCTCAGAGATTAGAGGGATGTAAATTATCCATAAAACGTGTATGTGTAAATAAATAAACAAGTAGCTTATACATGCATATAGATACAAAATAATTACAATTCAATTTGTCCAGAAAAGGAACAGACTTATTTGAGAGGTGGTAAGCTTGTCATGCCTGGGAAGCCGGCAATAGGCTTATCACTCTTAACATGACTAATAAAATATGCTTGTGCTTCCTTCTTGCTTTGGCTTTTTCATAAACACTGTGTCTAGGTAGACACTATCTGGAATGCCCCACCCCAGTCTTGTCTTGGAGAAATCTGCCTCACCCCAACAATTTCAAACCAGAGTACTTTTTCCTCTGAGGTGCACCTGGTGTCCTCTTGTTAATCATGACCCTGGGGATATGCTGGCTGGAGTTGTAATCACCTCATCCTGTCCCTTAACTCTCTCCAGTCTGGTGAAAGCACTCCCTCAGTATCTTACTCAAGAAATGTTTGCTGAGGGGCACCTGGGTGGCTCAGTCCTTAAGCATCTGCCTTCAGCTCTGGCCATGATCTCAGTGTCCTGGGATCAAGCCCCACACTGGGGCTCCCTGCTCAGTGGGAAGCCTGCTTCTCCCTCTCCCACTCCCCTTGCTTGTGTTCCCTCTCTGGCTTTTTCTCTCAGTCAAATAAATAAATAAATAAATAAAATCTTTAAAAAGAAAAGTTTGCTGAATAAATACTTGTATCTGATCTTTTGTGGAAGGATTCTTGCCTTGCCGGATGGGGGAAGGTGTGTGACTAAGGGGCCGCAAGGATCCTGCTGAACTCCAAGATTCTGTGAATAGCACATGGCACTGAACTTGAAGGTGACTTACAGATGAATAATTGGGAATACCCAGGGCCACTCTGGCTTTTGCAGCTACTGGGGAAGAGAGAAGGAGGCATTTTCTCCTGCCCTTCCTCTGACAGTTACACCAACGGGTAGTCATGGGAGAACTCCAAGGGGAAATCAAGGGATCCTGTAAGAATTTATTCTGGAACATAAGGTAAGTTGCCTCCTCGGTCCTTGTGCCTTGGCACTGCTCCTCCCCAAACCTGTTAGAATGTCCTAGCTCCCTTCTTCCTCTAGCTGCTGTTACTCCTCCCTCCCACCCTGCCTGGCGACACCATCCCCAGGAAGCTTTCGGGAAAACACTTCCCCCTCTTTTCCACCCGCCAAGCAGGAGTTACTTCTCCTTTTCTGGACTCACTCCCATTGCGGGAGGAGGGGGGAGTAAATGGCCTGCCCGCACCAAGGCACTTTCCACAGCAGACGTCGCTTTCTTTACTTCTTTTTTAAGTTTGCTTTCTCCTTGTTTAAGTCATGCACCAAGTCCACGTGTGGCCTCTGCTCCCCAGGCAGGAGACCCGCGCGTAACCGCCCCCCCCCCCCCCGGCTTTGCTACATGAGTGGATGCCAGAAAGAGTAGGACATCAGCATTTTATTTTACAATTGCAAGAGTCGTCGGGAGTCACCTAGTGAAACCCCCCCTTTTACAAATGCTCTTCCTAGAGTTTCCGGAAAGAAGCTTTTGGCTTCATTCAGGTCCTTTTCTTCTCGAGGCCCAAAGTACTTTTGCTGTTGATGATCTCAACACGCTAGGCAGGTAGGAGGGCACGGTAGGTAGGTGTCAGTATCCTCCCTCTCCCCCTAAGGGAAACTGACTCAGAGAAACTAGGTGACGGCCCTCGGTGGGGCGGGGGCTGTAACGGGAATTCAGGGCTCCGGGCCAACATGGAATTTATTGTGCCTCCTTTTGGAAAGCGTGAAAGTGAAGTAATCAATTTACGAGGCCCAGGCGAGGACCCTTTAGTCCCCCAAAAGGATCGGGTTGGGTCAGGAGGATTAATGCAGCTAAGGGCTCGCGGCATTGACCCCTTGGCAATTTGTCGAGGTCCAGCGGGGTCCGCCGCCCTTCCCTCGACAGGGTGACCAATGGGCTTCGGCCTCTTTAAGGCCCCAGCGCCCCGCCTCCGCCTCGTCGCCGTCCTCCTCCCACCTCCTAGCCTCAGCTCCGCCAGTTTCAGACTTCCCTTGGCGATGAGGTCATCTTCTCGTTGCTCATTGGCCGCGCTGCGCCGTCAGTCACAGGAAGTCCCGCCGCCGTCCTCACCTCGTTCGCACCCCTCCCTCCCCGCCCTCCCTTTAGTTCTCCAGTCCCAGCCCCCTCAAGGCCTCTGATTGGTCAGTGCTGCTGTCACTCTTCCAGCAGGCAGTGTGGGAGGTGGGAGGCGGGTGTGGTGGGAGGGGCCGCAGCTTCCGTGGCTGAGAGGAGCCGGCGGCAGTCGTGTCTGTGGTGTCCGAGGCGGCGGCGAGAGCGACCGTTCCAGCCTCCCCACCCCCTCGGCTCCGCTCGCCACAAGTCCTCCGCTTGCGCAGCCCTTTCCCCAGCTCCGTGCGCCCTGGCCAGGCGTTGAACCTTGGAAGGGGAGGCGCGCGGTAAGAGCCGGAGGGGGACCGCCGCGGAGCCCCGGCTGGGAGGAGCGCGAGGCGGTGAGTGAGAGTCCGGGCAGGGGACCCCTCCCCCACTGCGGCCCCGCCCCGAGCATCCTTTCTCCTCGCGACCCCGAGGCGCGCCCTCGGGGTCGGGCTGCGCGGGTCCCACAGCCGGGCCCCCAGCACGCCGCCGCTCGCTTCGCCGGTCCCTCCCCTCCGGGCCGGGGTCGCCCAGCCCGGGCGGGCGGCCCAGGGCGCGGCCGTGCACCTGTGAGCCGCCTGACTGGGCAGCGCCGGCGGGGGGATGCGGGGGTTGGGGGAGGGTCCTGCACCCGTTGCGTGCGGGTGTGTTTTGACTGCAGGGACCCGGTGTCGGGCGCTTTCCCCGGGATCCTGTGCAGATCCTCAGGATCCATGTGCAGTCCTAGGATTCCCAGGGAAGGGAGCCTCACCGGGACTTGTTGCTGCCTCTGTCAGCAACCTGAATGCCGCCAGGTGTGAGGGATCTGGCAGATTTGAAACTTGACGGCCGAGAACTTGACTCTCTAAGATAAAGTGTCTGTCAGGACGCTTTGATTACGCCTCCCACCCTGGCCGGTACCGCAGGGAAGCAATGATACTCTGTGGTAGCTAGGGCTGGGGCGTTCAGCTCAGACTCTCCAACCTGCCATTCGCTAGTTGTGTCGTTTTGGGCTTCAGTTTCCTTTTCAGGAAAATGGGCGTAATACCTACTACATGGGGTCATCGTGATTTGAGAACAACGAGAAGATCAGTTTGTATTTAAGCACCAGCCCAACATGGCTTTGTCAGGATCTCGCTTTTCTCACTGTTGTATGGATAGCATAAGTAAAAGGCAGTTTGGTGGATACTTGACTACTTACCAGCTGTAGTTGGGGTGAGGTATGTGTATACGGGCATGTAAAAGATGTCACTTAAGTAATGAAATTACACCTAGCTTCATGTGTTTTTACATACTTAGAAGTCCATAAGAAGTCTGAAATGTCCCCAGGTTGCCAGCTTTTGAGATCTTTTCAAGATCTCTTCCATTGGAAGCCAGAGCTTGTAACATACTCATTATTTCCATTAAAAAGTGAAATTCACATGTTTTATGTTAGAGGGCCTCAAAAAACTCCACAAATTTCACTGAAGCAGTTTTACAGTTGAAAAGCAGTCACCTCCCAGGAGTGAGGTGGTACAGCCAGCTGGCACACAGCCCCCGGACTGCAGGGTGGGGAACACTTGGCTGAAAGTTGTTAAATTAAGTTTTGCCTAAGGTCATTTGCATTTTCATAGTGAATCAAAGGGCTTTATGATAGCTTCTTAGTGAAGTGTTTTAGAAAGAGGCAAGCCAATTATTGCTTTTTTCAAAAACACACACAAAGAAAAACTGACTTTAGTCCGTTCTAGCATTGGCTTCAGTTCTTTGCCAGTAACTGTTAAGAAGAGACCCTGTTTAGAAAGAAAGGCTTTCACAAGTCACATTTCTTTGGTTAAGTTTTTTATTTAGAGTAAAATCGTGAGATGGAAGAGTAAGATGTATCCCATAATCCAAACGTATTTATTGCAGACTTTCCACATCCTTAGTTCTCTACTGAGTGCTATGAGGAAGGGATTCAAAAGAAGTATGAAACAGCCCATAAAGAGCAAAACCATAAAATTGGGTCACTTAATACTAACTTTGGTTACCACTTAAGAAATGACTTCATTCATTCATTCAGTAAATAAACTTGTTCCTTGCCAAAACATGCCACGTGTTTTTTTTTTGTTTTGTTTTTTTTTTTTAAGATTTTATTTGAGAGTGAGAAAACACAGAGGGAGAGGGAGAAGCAGACTCTCCACTGAGCAGAAGCCCAATATGGGGCTCAATCCCAGGACCACGAGATCATGATCTGAGCCCAAGGCAGATGCTTAACTGACTGAGCCACCCAGGTGCCTTGCCAGGTGTTTTTTCTAAAAGCCAAGGTTTCCAGATTAAGTGTGATATGGTCCCTGCTCATAGGAGCTCACAGTCTAGTGTGAAAGCCAGAAAGTGACAGATAATTGTAACACACCGAAATAAACTCCAGAACTGTATGGGACGGTCAATGGAACTTTTCCTTTGCACTTTAAAGAGAAGGTGGCATTTGAGCCGAATCTTAACTTATTAGACGAAGAAGAGGAAGATCATTCTTCTTACAGTTACAGAAGTAACTGAGCTTGGAAAGGTTTCCTGAAAGATCTGACTGTAGGTGTAAGCCCTAGGAAAGGGGAAGGAAACTGGTATTTCTTGATGCCCACTATGTAACAGGCATTAAGCTGGGCTTTTAATGTTACCACTTCATTAGTCCTATGAAGTAGATTTTACCTCTCCTTTAGGACAGGAAAACCAAGGCTCATAATAGTTAAATGATTTGTCTAAGGTTACACAGTTAGTGACGGAGCCAGGACTTGAATTTCTGACATAAAAGTATGTATGCTCTTTTCTTTTTAACACTCTGTAAAAATAAATATGAATGAGGTGAGATAGTTCTTTCTATATATGTCATTTTACCATATCAGTTACAAATTACTTTCTGTGAAATAAATGTTCATATTTGATTTAGAGTTGCTAAAACTTGTATAATACAAGCTATCAAATGATATTTCTTTTATAAGTTTGAGGTTTGCTAAAAAGTGTGGTTCATGGAAGCATTTAATGGAAGACATTGATACATACAGATTCTGTATGGGGCTCTTAACAAAGCTATTAAACAGGTATGGACTTCTTGAGACAGTAGCTTAAATATTTAAATGTATAAAGTGGTGTGCAGATATATGGCCAATAAAATAGAAAGTGAAAAGGATAAAACGGTTTTGAGTAATTTTTATGAAAGGGGAAATTAGAATTTTGAAGTCATTAACAGAGATTGTTATATCTAGAGAGACCACTGTGGACTATAAGCTCCACAAAGGCAATTTGTTTCTTTTATTCTCAGCTTGAAGAGCAATTTTTGGGGGATGCCCGGGTGGCTCAGTTGGTTAAGCATGTGCCTTCGGCTCAGGTCATGATCCCAGGGTCCTGGGATAGAGTCCTGCGTTGGCCTCTGCTCATCAGGGAGCCTGCTTCTCCTTCTGTCTGTTTCCCCTGCTTGTGCTCTCTCTTTGACAAATAAATAAATAAAATCTTAAAAAAAAAAACACACACACAATTTTGGGGACATAGTAGATGCTCAGTAAATATTTGTTGAATAAAAGATGAATGTGAATATATATTTACAGTGAGCAGTGTGTTTATGTAGATGCTCGTGTTGATAGAATTGGTTGACCATAGGAACATTTTCATCTGCTGAGAAAAAACTTTAGTCGGGAGGTTATATTTCAGAAAGTCTTTGAAAGAAAAGAGGGAAGACTGACAGATTACAGATGAAGTGGCACAGGCATACACCATATAGGTAGTTTATAAATGGTTATACTTTGGAAGAAAAGGAACATTGAACAAAGGGAATGGCCCATTGACAGCATTCGAATAGAGGCACTGTTTATTGATAAGGCTTTAATGAGTTTTCAGAATCAAGGAAACAGTCTCTGCTCTTGAACTTACAGTTTTAGAGACTAGGTGTTAGCTGTCTATTACTGTGTAACGTGTTACCCCAAAAGTTAGTGTTTGAGATAAGAGTAAACATTTATTATTCCTCACAGTTTCTGTGAATCAGGAATTTGGGAGCAGCTTGAGCAATAGTTCAGTCTCACACTCTCAAGAGATTGCGGTAAAATGCCATCTGGAGTTGCAGTCATCTGAAGGGAGACAGGCTGGTGGATCGTCTTCTAAGGTGGCTACTCAGATTGTTGGCAAGTTGGTGTAGGCTGGTGGTGGGAGGTCTCCATTCTCCATGCGAGACTCTCCATAGAACTACTTGAATACCCTCATGGCCTGACAGGTGGCTTCACCCAGAGCAAGTAATCCAAGAGACCAAGGTGCATTGTCCTTTATGACCTAGCTTCAGAGGTCACATACTGTCATTTCTCCAGTATTCTGTTGGTCACATATTGTGGGAAGGGATTACATAGGGGTGTGAATACGAGGAGGTGAGAATCGTTAGCGGCCATCTTGGAGGCTGGCTACCACAGTGGGTAGCATAGAACAGAAGTGTTGGAGGGAGGTACAAAGTGCTGAGGGAGGGGAGGGAAGGATTCAGGTGAGGGAAAGCTTACTTTTGGGAAAATGAGGGAACTGGGAAAGATTTAAGTCTTTCAACAGATATTTGTAGGTATTTATTGGGTGTTTACTGTGTGCCTTCAACATGGTAGGCTAATATGTGGAAGTGAATTGGGGCTGTATGAAATGTTTTAAGTGGTCTAGGGCAGCTTTGGTACTAAGGACAAACACTTGATCTCTGTGTGTGAAGGTGGAGTAATTTTTCTGATACTGAGGAGAACACTAACTTGTCAGAGTGATAGAGGAGCAGTTAAGAGCATAAATAGTAGAGCCAGACTTCCTGGGTTGGAGCCCTACCTCTGCCGCATGCTGGCTGTGTGACCTTGGGTGTGTGACTCTGGCACTCCTAACCACATCTTCTCGGTAACTCACTATAAATTGAGGGTAATAATAGTGGCTGCTTTATACTGCTGTTATAAAGATTAAATAAGTTAAAAATTTGCCGAGTCCTTGGAACAGGTTGACATGCGTCATCATTACCACCATGATCGTTCCTTTTGGGCGGGAGTGTGGGACTGGCCATGGGTGAATGAGGCTCGACTCAGAGATGAGCGAATGTGGAATGATGTGAGTATTCAGAAGCTTTTACATGTCAGTCATTTAAATGGAATCATTTGCTGCTTCAGCATCAGTTTTTCCAGTTCGAGTACTTATGTTTAGATAATTTTTATTTCACAAATAGAGTGAACCAGTGATTTCATTTAGCTGAACTCCACAGGTGCAACACCTCAGGAGATGCACAGTTGCCTGTGAGAGGTATCTTGCATTCTCTTGTCGTCCCTCTCAATTACTGGGCCCTCTGTCTGCAGAATGGGTTTAGCCAGAAGCAGTACTTAACGGTGCAGCTTCCCAAGAGCTTAGTGGTGGAACCGGGACCCATAGT